TGCAGATTTATTTCAACGTTTTCTTCTGGTATGGTAGCTGATATTGTTTATTTCATCATAAAAACCAATATTATTTTTCTAAAATAAATGTTAATGTTTGAACCATACATACAAATATTAAGTAATGTTTAAATGTATCACTGAAGTTCCTTATTATTAATAACAATTTTTAGTATATAGTTTATGTAGTCTTAAGCTTGTCTTTTTTCTTATTAAAAAGCGTAGAGACATGTACATAGTGCAAATTAATGTACATTTTTGGTTGTTTCTAATGCTCTGCTAGCTTATGTTCATATATGCAAAGCAAAATATATTTTCTTAATTATCATTTTTCCCTCTTTCATTTTAATCCAGGGTTTACACTGGTCAATGTTCAGAGGCTATAATGAATACTCTAACAGAGGTAGATAATACATAGTAATTAAGCTCATCAGCACTGTATACAGCTTCTAAGGTATAAATGCATATGTGCTGTTTCCTCCAAGGTATTTCTTGTAATCATATATCTCAGGCATAGAGGAAGTGTCTGATGTAAGATTAATGTGATTATGTGATTAATGGATACATGATATTACTATATTTGCTTACTGTCCATGATAATGTCATTAATAAACACCTTGCTTCTCAAGTATTACTGGATTTATTTCTCCATTTTCTATTGATATGCCCCTCCTTTTTTATATTACTTATTTTGTGTGGTTCATATTTATTAAAACACATTCTGATCGCTGGATAAAAGGTTTTCTGCACATTTGAAATGGGATTATTAGTTTTTACTTATCCCTTTTATGTTTCCATTAATCAAGTAATTAGGATTGTGGGGTAAATATACTTTTTCATAAAGCACTTGGAAGTTTTCTTGTGGTTGTGCAAATGATCTCTCTGATAGATATTTTCACAATATTCCTATCTGACTTGATAATTATATTTCCCAGCAGATTTTTCCCCCATTGGTTCCCCCTTGATTATATCTATACTTCACTTTCATTCTGAATTCTTTATCTTCCCCAGTAACCTGATAGAAAATTGTATGCATACATAAATTTTTTCGATTGCCTACTCCACATTTTTAACATCGTATTCTTTAGTGACCAATCTTTCTTAATTCATTTAAAGTTTAAAATGTATTATTAGCTACTGTTGGAAACTGATGTAATGAGTAAGTACACCTTCTGTGACATAAAAGTTTGGCTGTAGCAGTTTAAATCAGCTGTTCTTAAATAAATTAGTGTGATTGAATGATTCCATCTTAAAAACTTAAAAATAAAATCAGTATGATTTCTAAAAATCATTTTCTAAGTGAGCCATATGCAAATTCAGTTGGAATTTACATTTTCATAAGTTTTCCTTTCAAATAGATCGCCCTTCCCTTTTTTTCTACAAGTTTGAATTAACCATCTCTGACTAGCAGTAGGTGTTATTTTTTGCTCTTCCCCCCCCCCCCCGTTTATTAATAAGGTATATGCACTGTATCTTGCCTAATATGTTAAGTAGCTTCCTCTATTTTATCTGCTATATGCTGGGGTTTTTTTTTTCTTAAATGGCATATGTGGCATACCGTATTTATTTATTTTCAGTGGCTGTACTTTTTTCCCATGTTCTGACACCTTTCCTTTGTTTTTTTTATTTCAGTAATATCTAGTTCATGGTGGTTTTTACTGTCTTCTATTGGTTTCCTTTCTAACTTTATACCAGAGTTCAGTTTGCATGTTCTACGATTCTAGATCACCTGCCTGTTTGATTTGTAATTGAACCATGGACTTTTATTCCAAAATACTTGCATTGCTTCTCATTTGAAACTTATCTTTCCCAAAAGGAAAACATCTTTATGCCAGTTAACCTCGGCTTTATCTTTTATTTTTCACGTGCTTCTTCAGTAAACAGAATGTTTACATGCATGTGTTGGTAGCATTAAAGAAAATTAATTTGCATATTTTCTTCTTATTTATTTATCTGTGCCGGTTTGTTCTTTTGGTTGTCAGTCATGTAAATCAACAAGTATTTATTAGGTACTTAATAGGTGCCAGGCACTGTGTTAAGTTCTGGGGATACAAAGACAGGCAAAAATCAGTCCCTTGCCCTCAAGAAGCTCACATTCTAATAGGGAAGACAACAAGTAACTAACTGGGTATATGCAAGAGGTAAGACAGTATGAATGGGACGTACTCCGTGCATCAAATTTTTACCTGAACAGGTTTATTCTTCCTACCAGTATACTATGTTCAACAATATTTAACACCCTCATTTTCCTGTATTATTGTCATATGAGGATATTAGTATTGAATTTCCCTTTTTCACTGCCCAGCACTTGACGGGGTAACATTAAACCGAGGCATCTGCAGGATGCAGATGATGTTTATGTCGGTCAAGGTTATAATGTTTCTCACTTTCACATGTATTATGGTTAACAGTATCCTAAGTGAGGAATTACATTATGGGCTCATTCTTACTGCTTATACTTGAGTGTCATTTCTCCATAACGTCATGGTTTCCTTCACATTATAGTTGGGAGTCCTGTGTCAAGCGGATTAGATCTAGATGTCCCATTCCTCAACTTTCCAAAGTTTACTCGGGCCTTGCTTTAAGACTGTAAATTAGGAGTGACGTCATATTTTTCTTTGCATTTGCAGTTCTCTTGGTCAGCGACCTAAGTGAATTTGTAACCACCTGTGCTATTGTGAACAAGGCATTCTTGTTTTAAAATTGCTTTCCTGGGTCAGGGTAAACGTTGGGTAGGTAGTTAAGCAGCTTTGTGGCCAGTTATGTAAACAGAAAGATGGTCTCCACTCAGTGCCTTTAATCTTGGATGTTCAAAGTTTTGAAGCCCATCTATCACACTCGAGAAGAGAGGAGACAAAAGTTTTATCGCTGTTCCCACTGCACCTATTTATTCTGCCTTGGTGTGCAACTGGGACCGTCCAGCCACAGCACACACCCCACCCCACTCCGTGGCCGCGTGCCCCCAGCCCCCGCCAGGAGCTTTCCCCAGCGTCCTAAAGGGCTCAGGCCTCGGTGCCCCCGCTGGACAGACAGCCCGCCCTCCCCGGCTGCGCAGCCTGGCCCGGAGCACTGGCTCCAGTGGCTGCCCGGCGGCTCCCTACCGCTCCCGCTCCATTCACCTGCAGCAGCCGGAGGACTTCTCCCTTCCCTCCCCCCTCTGGGGTGATGCTGGCGAGTGGGCGGGCTGGCGCTCCCTGGGCTCTGTGCCCAGTCCGGGGCTTTCTCTTCGGCCCCGGAGCGGGAAGGGGGGTAGCTCCCCAGCCACCCGCCACCCCCATTCCTCGGGATTGTTTTCCTAACCCTTTCTCCCTCTTCCTTGTGACTTTCTTTCTTTTCCTCAAAGATGATGATCTCTAATCTCTAATCTTCCTCGCTTCCCCCCCCCCACACAAACACACAAACACACACACACACCTGCCCCATCTGTCTCGCCCTCCTCTGTAATAGGGAAGGTGTCAGCCCCTCGGCCCGGGCAAGCTTCGCTCCCCCACTCCCTGCCCCGGCCCCGGCCCCGGCCCCGGCCCCAGCCTCGGGCTCTCCCACCCTCCCTCCCTCGCCTGTGCCGCCGTCGCCGCCGCTGCCAGCCGCCAGTGGTGCCTCCTGCGTGGCTCCCTGTTATTCTGGGTATTGTGTGTAATAAATGCAGAGCCGCCTCACTCTAATCAAGCTGATTACAAATTCTTGCGCGCCCTGTGCCGGAAATCGCACTCCCCCCTCCCCCCATGCACACGTTCCCCCCCTTCTATTTCTCTCACTCATTCACTAGCTACTTGTCTTTCTGGTTTCTTCTTCCGCCACCCCCACCTCTGCCCCCCTCCCCCAGACCCAACCTTAACCCCCATCTTTGCCCTCCATCCTGTTTTTTTAAATTTTAATTCCTTTTCTGCCTTTCACTCTCCCCCTCTTCCAACTATCCCTCTCCTCACCCCCCTCCTCTTCCTCCTCCTCCTGCTCCTCTTCCTCCTCCTCCTCCTCTTCCTCTGCCACTTTTTCTCCCTCTCTCCCTTTCTCTGTCTCTGTCTGTCTTTCTGTTTCTCCCAGGACGCGCCGGATGATCTGGGGCCGCAGGGGAAGGGCCCCGGGCAGCTGCAGGGAGGCTGCGTCCTCCAGTCTAGGGCGGTAAAAAGCCGGTGGCCTCGGTGTTATTTTGTATTAAAATGAGGAGGAGGAAGAAGAAGCAACAGCAACAGCTCCGGCGGCAGCAGCAGCAGCCACGACAGCGAAGGCGGCAGCAGCAGCAGCAGCAGCAGCAGCAGCAGCAGCAGCAGCCGAAAGCTCTGGCAGAGAGCAGAGCCCAGGAGCTGGGGACGGCGCGGCGGCGGCGGCGGCGGCGGCAGCAGCAGGAGGAGGAGGAGGAGTGATGAGTCAACTAATAATTTAATGGGGACAGAGACGAGAGAGGGAGGGGGGGAAGAGAGAGAGAGAGGAGACGCACGGCTCAGTCCGGGCACACACACACACACACACACACACACACACACACACACACACACAC